TGAAGAGGTAGGACTGTTCGTGTGACTGAAACGACTGTCCTATGACGAGCGCTATTTGCTGACGTCATCCTACGGACTTATCTTCTACAGTAGGATTCGACACTAACTATCGATAAACGACTTACAGAAATGCTAAGCATGAATTATAGTACAACACGGTGTATCCCTCCACTGCAGGTAAAACTGCAACAGCTTTTTAGTACACAGCTATGGTATTCAACCGATCCTCATGACTCCCTACAAATTCAGACCAAATTTCCACCTCCCATCTGTTGTGATATAATTGATACTTAGCATTTCTGTAAGTCGATGAAGTGTAGTTAGTGTCGAATCATACTGTAGAAGTCCGTAGGATGACGTCAGCAAATAGCGCTCGTCATAGGACAGTCGTTTCAGTCACGCGAATAGTCGCACCTCTTCATTATCGTCTAGGGCGCATAGCGCGATAGTGACGAACAGGTACATTAGCGAATAGGTACTTTTCGTAGAACTATAAATCCTTGTTAGGTCTTTGTCATTATTAACTTTGATTACACAAGTTCACGTACTCAGGTTATTCAACCTTGACCTTTACATTTTACAAGACTTCCGCTGTCGTACTAGTCTACCTTTCCAGCAAATATCCTGGACCAACACTTGAGGATTTGCGAAGTGTTCGTGTTTCTAGTTTTATACTTAGTCTACTACAACATCAGACGATTTACTTCATGGTATGAGAGCTATCTGGAATTAAGACAACCGTCAACTATGACCGGTCCAACACTAGCACCATCTGCTGTATCAGTTACTGGGACTACTGGAGCACATGCCTCCACTACCGCCGCTGGTCTCTCAGCCTCTGGGCACTTTCCACCAGCCTATGCTAATATCGGTATGCAGAATCCGCCTTCTGTTAATACTCCAGGTGCTCCATCGACTGCACCTGCAACGCAACAACAACAATCACAGACAACAGCACAGCAACAAGCATCAGTACAGCCACCAGTTTCAACGCAATCAATTTCATCTGCGTTCAGTGGAATGAGCCTTGACGGCTCAAGTTACATGCGTGGAGCTACAGCTCCAAGTACTAGTTCGTTCGCTTTCTCACCCTTCATACAGCAGCCGCAGTCGCAGCAGTTTCAGCATCCTTTTTATATCTTCGGTCGTTCTTCTGCTCAGCAACCACAGCAAGTACAGCAACAGCAGTATCAGCAACCACAGCAAGTACCGCAACAGCAACAGCAAGTACAGCAGCTGCCAACCCTGCCAGGCTGTTCGAAGGCTCGCGTGCATTTGCAACTGACGAAGCCGAAGCTGATGTTCAGGACGAAAATGTTTCTGAAGCATCCGAAGCTGCCGCAACAGACATTCCCGAACCTGTAACCTCGACTGGCATACCTGAATTCATTCCTCTTGCAGATGACGTTCGCGAAGTTCATCTCAGTTACGAACGTGATCGCCAACAACAGCCAATGCCCGTAGTCTCCGATGAAGCAGTTCGTGTTACACCTGACGAAATTGGGAGAGAAGAAGGACCAGAAGAAAATTTCGCAGGTGCAAACGAAGAACGTCCGCGTTTTACAGAAACAGGATTGCAGATACTGGGATTTGCAGTAGTAGTACACCACAACGACAGTAAGATACCTGAACCGAAAACCGTCCGACAAGCTCTTACGAGTCCTCACCGAGAAAAATGGCGCGAAGCCATGGACAAGGAGCTAGCAGCACTCAAGAGTCGCGGCACATGGGATTTAGTACCGACTTCAGAGGTTAAAGGGAAGACGGTACTTACCGGAAAATGGGTCTTCCGCGTCAAGACTAATGCAGATGGGTCGTTTGAAAAGTTCAAAGCACGATGGGTCGTCCGCGGATTCGAGCAGACTTATAGCATCGACTATGAACTAACCTTTGCTCATGTCGGCCAACATACAAGTGTTCGGATTCTTCTTTGTGTCGCCGCCTGCCGTAATCTACGTCTTCGCCAAATCGACGTATCGAATGCTTTTCTCTACGCACCCGTCGACGCACTCATCCTGGTAGAGTACCCGCATTCTTATACTACTAACCCACCGAGCGTTTGCCGTCTACGAAAATCCCTGTACGGCATTAAACAGGCACCACGACTCTGGCAGCAGTATCTTCACTCCCAGCTGATCATTGCTGGATTTCGACAGTTACCGCTTGATCAGGGAATGTATCGACTAACCGACGGCAGCAACTACATTTTACTCGTTGCCTACGTCGACGACATCCTATTCGTCAGTACCTCCGATTCCCTCGCTGATATCTTCATACTGAAACTACAAAAAAATCTACAGATTACCGTCTCCAAAACAGTCTCAGAGTTTCTCGGTCTGAACATTACCTCTTCACCGACAACTATTCATCTTACCGCTTCTAAGTATGCAGCAACATTCGCTGCCCGCTTCAACCTCACACCTACCACAGTCTCTACACCGTACCGCTCACTACCGACTGACCACAAACCGAACACCGCACTGTTAACTTCAACCGGTTTACAGATCTATCAGCTGCAGCTAGGCTGTCTACTTTTCGCAGCTCTCACTTGTCGTCCTGATCTAGCCTATGCGGCCAGCCAGCTTGCTCAGTTCCTACGCCGTCCTGAGGAGGAGCATCAGCTCGATCTACTCCGCGCTCTTCAATATTTCATCTCGACACCTGACGTCGGTCTAGTCTACAACGTCATCGGCTGTAAAACACTCTACCTACATGGTTTTGTCGACGCCGATCACGCTGCTGATTCTACTAATCGACGGTCACGCACTGGGTTCATCTATCGACTTGAACCTATCGGGCCTATCTCTTGGAATTCGACGAAGCAGGAGTTGATTGCCCTCTCCTCTGCTGAAGCTGAGTTTATTGCTGTCTGCACAGCAACACGCGAAGGACTTTACTTACAGGAACTATTGGAAGAAGCGAAGTTGACGACAACTACCCAGTTTACCCTACAGTGCGACAATCAAAGTGCAATTCGCATCGCACATCAACCTGGTTTCGTCAACAGGACGAAGCATATTTCGCTTCGTTATTTTTTCGTCAAAGATGAAGTCGAGAAGGGGAGGATGCGATTGGTCTACTGTTCGACCAACAAAATGGCTGCCGATTTTCTTACGAAGAAGCTGACACGACAGAAGTTTCAGTACTGTAACAAGCTCTGCGGAATCTTCAAGAAGTGACACTATCGAACTTCCAGAAATGAAGGGGAGTGTTGTGATATAATTGATACTTAGCATTTCTGTAAGTCGATTGAGTGTAGTTAGTGTCGAATCATACTGTAGAAGATAAGTCCGTAGGATGACGTCAGCAAATACCGTAATCCCCCGGATATAGGCGCATATGTGCTTATAGGGATTAGGTTCAAAAAGCAGCATGCGCTTGTAATCGAATAAAAAATATAAGCCCATGCGCTAATACGAAGGACTATATGGAAAATGATTTGAACACACCAAAATGTAGCTGGGTAAATTTGGGTTCCAATACAACTGTCTTCAAAAATATCGCGCGTAATCTCTGGCGAAAGTTTCGCCAACACAACTATGCTGAGAAGGCAGGGTATGGACCAATCATACGCAAGGCAGGGATCGGGAACAGGCCCCTAGATTGCAGGAAAATTTTCCTGATTCAGGAAAAAAACAGAGTTGTTGCTGGTACCAGTCCTGATTGTCCAGGATTTTTCGAAAGGCATTTCCTGTTTTTTCAGCATTTTTTGGGGGGTCAACTCTGATTGCTAAGCAAAGTTTTCTTAACGAATCCTGAAATTTCAGCTTTGCAACGAAACTGTACTTGTTTCCGTCCAAGCGTGACCTGGGGGCCAGCAGAGATTTCCAAGGTTCTGGCCCGCCCTCCAAGCTCTGTGAGGGCGCTTATTGGCCCTTCACCAAATTCGTGGCTCGACGCGTGGGGGCAGTGTGAGGGAGGGCACTTGTGTTGAGTGACCCGCTGGGGTTGCCCTTGAGATCCTCGGGGAAGGGCCACAGGTGCAGAGCCTGGGGGGCTATGGGCGCACTTACCCGCTATTCAATAAGCCCTTTTAACCCAGTGGTTAGTGGCTGGGTTTCTGACATGGTACATCAGAGCCAAAGGTCTTGGGTTCAACTCCCAGTGCCAGCGCTGCAGAGGCGCTCGTGTCTTCCACCTATCCCAGCGGGGGGGGGGGTGTTGAGTGACCCGCTGGGGTTGCCCTTGAGATCCTCGGGGAAGGGCCACAGGTGCAGAGCCTGGGGGGCTATGGGCGCACTTACCCGCTATTCAATAAGCCCTTTTAACCCAGTGGTTAGTGGCTGGGTTTCTGACAACTTGGTCCTTAGCCAAATTTTGGGCCCGATGTGTTCCTTAGAGCTTTGTATGGGCGAAATTTCCCTCAGCCCCTGCAATGTCGCCCACCTGACCCGATTCACCCTGCAAGCATAAATTCGCTACTAAAGCATGCGCCAAGAACCTCTAAGAAATCAGGAAAAACTCCATAAGTAACTCTGTCTGCTTAGGAAAAAAATATTTAGGAGTCCTGATTCACGAGGAATTTTTTTGGGACCAACCCTGAAAAATCAGAGAAAAACTCAGGGGGGATCCTGAGCGATCAGGGCTCCTAAAAACCAATCTAGGGGCCTGATCGGGAATCTGGCTGGCGAGGTGCTTGGGAGGGGTGCGAGAGTGCTGCGGGAGATTTGGCAGAGTCTGGATATGGAAGTTTCGCAAATCACATGTTTTTTAATAATAATTCAATGCGCTTATAGGGAATAGATTTTCTGAAAAAAAGGTGCGCTTATAATGAAATAATGGCTAGAAGCGCGATTGCACTCTATAAGCCCACTGGGCTTAATAAATGGCTGCGCCTATATCCGGGGGACTACGGTAGCGCTCGTCATAGGACAGTCGTTTCAGTCACGCGAATAGTCGCACCTCTTCATTATCGTCTAGGGCGCATAGCGCGATAGTGACGAACAGGTACATTAGCGAATAGGTTTTTTTCGTAGAACTATAAATCCTTGTTAGGTCTTTGTCATTATTAACTTTGATTACACAAGTTCACGTACTCAGGTTATTCAACCTTGACCTTAACATTTTACAAGACTTCCGCTGTCTTACTAGTCTACCTTTGCAGCAAAGATCCTGGACCAACACTTGAGGATTTGCCAAGTGTTCGTGTTTCTAGTTTTATACTTAGTCTACTACAACATCAGACGATTTACTTCACCATCTACCGTAGCCTCCTCCCCGTCCCTACCCACTCTCGAACGGAATGGGGCGTGCCGTCAGCGCTGGCAGACTGCGCTGGCCAGGAGGCTACAGCCTAGAGGTCTTTCTTGCTTTTGGAGGCGAATTTGCGGTCGAAGACAGCGAGCTGCGCGCGCAGGCTCTCGTTCTCGTCCAGCAGGCGGTCGTACTCCAGCTGCAGCCCCTCCGTCTGCTTGCGGATTGCCGCCACGTTCGTCTCTGCTGCTCGTGTGCGCCCCTGCCACGTCTCCACCTCCTCCTGTGAAAGGATACAGCATACCACACACAGCCCACAGCATGGCACATAGGGTGTCGGGACAACCCAAGTGAACATCAAGTCGTAGTACATCTTGCCATGCCAGAACACACTTAGTGGGAAGCCTGGCTGCTGTGTGAACACACAAATGCCACTCAAGGAAATGACAAACCAGTTCTACTCTATGCACTAGCCATCCAGCTCAACTCCCTCCCATCCCAGCCCCCCCCCCCCCCCCCCCTGCTGACCTCCTTGTGGCGGAGGTCCTTCTCCAGCCGTGCAATGCTGTCCTTGAGCCCCCTGGCCTTCTTGACGGCCTCCTCCTCCACGCCGCGCTCGCCCGTGCGCTCGTTGGCCAGGCGCATGTACTCGTCCTGCAGCCCCTGTGCCTGCTTCTTCAGCGTCGCGATGCTCAGCGCCGCCACCTCGCCCGCCTTTATGCTGCTCGCCAGCTGCCCTATCACCAGCCCCAGCAGCAACCCGTAGCCTGGGGGGGGGGGGGGGGAGGAGGGGGAGAGGGTGAAACGGCACGGAAGGATAACCGTAAGAGATGTGGAGACCCACTCGCTGAGAGAGTGGAGACGCGCTGTCGGATGCGGAAGCATGCAGGGGTTATAGCACAGAAGATATGCAAGGGCGGGGAGGGCATCCATACGGTGTGCTGCATGACACCATGCACATGCTCAATCGACTTGAAACAGATCAGCTTGTGCCTCACAACGCCGTGCGCCACCCACTCTCTGTCACGAGGCACAGCACCTGGGCCCCCCCTGCCACGTGTGCCACAGCAGGTCAATCCCAGGCCATTGGCAAGTCATCCACAGCTACCGGCAAGCTGGTCACCCCAGGCACCAGGCGAGACGGTTGCAATACGGGCGGCCGCGCGCCTGCTATGCGCACGCGCTTCTAAGGCGCCTCAAAAGTCCTCCGCTACACGTGTCGGTCATCCTTGCTGCTGAGCTGCTTACGCTCAACCACTGGCGAACGAATGAATGAAACGCCGCAGGGAGAGTGCCTCCCGACGGCTGCTTGCCTTGCGTCGCCATATCCGACAGCTCAGCTCGCACATCATCCAAATTAAATTCCCCCACCCCCCCTTTTGCGTTCCATCACTATACACTTACCGCTCACGCTGTACCATCCGACTTCACGCACACAGAACATACTCACTACACTCCCCCCCTCCCCCTTCCCCCCCCACCCCCCAATTCCCCTTTCCCCCCTTCCCCCTTACCCCCCCCAGCGCACCGAGCAGCATCTCCTGCACGGCGGCCTGCAGCAGCTCCACCCGCGCCTCATGGAAGCCCACGCCGCCCGCCCCCGACGCGAACATGCCCGGCGCCGACGCGTCGGACAGGCGCTGCTGCAGCTGCCACACCTGCACACCGCCCACCAGCAGCAGCACCAGCAGCAGCGCCGCCACCGTCGACACGACGACGCGCATGGCCGCGCCCTTGAAGAACACGACGATCGCCACGGGGATTCGGCGAACGGGCCGCCATGGCACAGCTAGTAGCAGCGCGAGAATTGTTTCCACGGCCGAGAGCGCGAGTAGCGGCGGAGTCAACATGATCACACGCAGGTGAGGATCTAGGAGCGAGGGGGAAAGAGGAAGATCGTGATGTGCACAGGGCTTCTGAAGGACTCAAAATGCTTTCTCGCTTGGACATTTGTGTTCGATTAGGTGGACTCTCTATATCGAAGATTCTACTCCGCGAGAGCAGCGTGTTGAATAATGATCTAACAACAAAATTATATTATATTTTTATTATGCGAATAAAATCCGCTATAACGAACCGGGAGCCTACGAATTCCTACGAACCGGGATCGGAATCAATTTGGATCATAAACGTGCAGTACTGTGCGGTGCTAATGTTCGGAACGCGTTTTAGTGCGGTTTATTTTGGTTATGCTCATATTTGATCCAGATCAATAATGTAGAAATTCGCCCTAAGCTAGTTACAATGCATAGGAGACACCTACAGTCGTAACTGTTTACAGAACGGCCTAGATGTGATATACAGTACCATGCCCTTCCCAAGCCATCATGGAGGTCTGACGAAGGTTCTGAGATTCGTCAAAATGGATTGAAAACCACGGGACCACGTGAAAGGCTGTGTCCTGTTATCATGAACCTGGCGGAGTGCAGCACCCACATTTCCTTGGGGGTCGAAGGGTTGGCGCCTCGGGGATTGTGTCATGGGTGTTGGAATGAGGGACATGCATGGCAGCGTTGCCCTCATAGGCCCAAGAATGCGATTCCAACTTTCCTGAAACAATAGGGTGGGTTCAGAGCCAAGGCACAAATAGCAGATGAGAAGGAGCAGGAGGATCCGACAAAGGTAGCTGTTGGTGAAGCAGTGGCAGCGGCCGGGCAGCAGGCAGCAGTGGAAAGGCAGCCGCGAGATGGGTGGGTGGATTAGTAGTGGAGCCAGCCACAACTTCACCCCCTATGTGACCGACTTCCAGAGTACGCTCGGGCCACCTGGGATTAGAGGAGTGAGATTGGGGGATGGACGCGTGGTCAGTGCTAAGGGTGTGGGTGAGGCATTGGTGTTTGGTGAAGGGGATAAATTATTAGGGTTGCAAAAGGTGCACCGTATGCCTGAGATGCACATCCGCCTCCTGTTTGTCCCACACCTCATCTCTAGGTGAGTTACGGTATTGTTTGAGGGCATGCAGTGTGTGCTAAAGAGGGGGGAGCGGGTGTTGGCGACTGGAGTGAAAGTATGGCAGAGATCATGGGTTGGTGAGGATGCAACTTCCACTGACTCCGGGAAACCAAGGAAAGGTTCTTGCCGCTCGCCCACTCACATCTCTCTCTCCTCTCGCCCTCCGCCATTGCCGACTTGGTCACACTGCGCCGGCAACACTCCAGCGGATGGCCAGGGGTAGCAGTTTCCTTGGATTGGATATAGGGAGTGTTGGTCGGGATTGCCTTGTCAAACATATCTTTGCATGTTGTTATAGACTATACAGGGTTGTGCCTTAGCGAGTACAACCCACTAGGTTATATTCCCTTGTATGTCATTGTTCTAGTCATTCTTTCACTTCAACATGGTATCATGCGTAGGTTAGGTCCCCCCCGCCCACTAGCGCTTCCGCCCTAGCTCCTAGCCGGCCCCGCCTCCTAGCAGGCCCCGCCGCCCAATCGGCCCCGTCGGCCCCGCCTCCTAGCTGGCCCCGCAGCCCAATCGGCCCCGTCGGCCCCCCCTCCTAGCCGGCCCCTCCGCCCAATCGGCCCCGTCGTCCTAGCCGGCCCCGTAGCTCAGTCGGCCCTGCCCCCTAGCCGACCTCGCCTCCTAACTGGCCCCGTCGCCCAATCGGCCCTGTCGCCTAGCCGGCCCCGTCGTCCAACCGGCCCCGTCGCCTAGCTGGCCCCGTCGCCTAGCCGGCCCCGTAGCCCAGCCGAACCCGCCTCCTACCCGACCCCGCCTCCTAGCCGACCCCGCCTCCTAGCCGGACCCGTCGCCTCGCCGGCCTCGTCGCCCAGCCGGCCCCGTCTCCTAGCCGACCCCGTCACCTAGCAGGCCCCGTTGCATAGCAGGCCCCGTCGCCCAGCCAGCCCCGTCTCCTAGCCGGTCCCGCCTCCGATTTGACCCCGCCTCCCAGCCGGCCCCGTCGCCTCGCCGGCCAAGTCGCCCAGCCGGCCCCGACTCCTAGCCGGCCCAACCTCCTAGCCGACCCCGTCGCCTAGCAGGCCCAGTCGCCCGACGGGCCCCGTCCCCTTGCTGGCCTCGTTGCCTAGCCGCCCCGTAGCACAGCCGGCCCCGTCACCTCCACGCCTAGACGGCCCTGTCGTCTCGCCGCCCGCGGCCCCGTCTCCTAGATGCCTCGCCGCCGTCCTCAGCCCTCTGCACCGCGCTGCATCATCCGGCACCGCACTGCACCGCAGTGCACCGCTCTGCATTGCACTGCACCACCCTACACCGCCCTACACCGCGCTGCACCGCACCCTACCATACTGCACCTCCCTTTGCCGCACAGTACAGCACTGCACCGCACATCACCGCTTTCCGCCGCAGCCTACTGCCCAGTACCGCCTTTCTGCTGATGCAGCGACCATGCTGGAGAACTCGGTCCTGCATTTTGATGCAGAGGGGCAGCCGATTGAGTTCGACTCGTGGCTCGTCGACCTTCGCCGACACCTGACTGGTGAGCAGCAGGACGGGCACTCCCTGGCCGTCCACATAGACGATACGCTCCCCTGCCCGGACCCCCCTGCTGCTCTACCCGCTGACCCTACTTCTGCTGACCGTGAGTCTGCTGCCCTTGCCCATGCTGTCTGGTTGTCGCGTGACGCTGTCGCACAGCTTGCGATTAGTCATGCCCCCCCCCTGTCCAAGCGCCCCCGCTTTAGGTCAGTCAGGACTGCGCGGGAGTTCCTAGAGGCTGTTGTTGCGCGCTATTCCACCCCGCCCGCTACCTCCGTAGGTCGTATGATCTGCCCATGCTCTTTCTTGACCTTGCGTCTTTCCCTACTGTCGCTGACCTAGCCGCCCATCTGCGCACGCTAGACACGACCTGGCGCGGTGCCTGCACCGAGGCCCAGCTTCGTGTGTTTCAGCCCCCCATATGCTCCACCCTCTACCTGCTTGCCACTCGCCTCCCTGACCACCTTGCCACCATCCGCGATCACTTCCTTTGTCTCCACCCCGCTGACCTCACCCTCACTGATTTTGTTGACACCCTGTCTGTTGTAGAGACTCGTCAGCGCTCTATCGCCTAGTCTAGCGGTACCGTGCCAGTCTCAATCTTTCAGGGCTGTGCCCCTGCTCAGTGCGCTTACTCCGACGGTTCTGCTGCGGTTGCCGAGACTGCTCCTGCTGCGGAGACAGCTGCCGCAGTGCAGATTCATCCGGGTAAGGGTCGCCGCCCCAAGGCTGGGCGCAGCGGAGGTAGCGGAGGAGGGGTTGGTGCCGGTGGTGCAGGTGGCTCGCTCGCTGGTAGTATTGACGTGGGGGCTGGGGCTGCTGCCTCAGAGCAGCAGTCCCAGGAGTAGCAGCAGTAGGCGCCGTCGCTAGAACATATTGGAAGTCTTTGGCAGCTGCTACACCAAAGTTGGAGAGCCCTATGACGAGGAGGGACCACCTTGTGTGGGAACTTTGTCCTCGCCTTGCAGTTGCAGCATTTGGGGTTTGGATCTCAATCTGGCACTGTATGGATTTTGTCTTGCCAGGCTAATTGAACCAAGGATGGGGAGTCAAGACTTTAACTCTTGTCATGTTTTTGACCAAGGGTCTCCAGGGTCCTTTCGTTTCATCCTTCCCTTCCTGCCCCATCTTCCAACTATGCTTCAATGTTTCCATCATGATTGCGACTCTGAGGATGGTCAATTTCTCCTAACGCAGATTACCCCCCAGTGCGCCAAACGCCATAGCTCACTTGCTAGGTTACGGAATCGGGAGATTCAACTTGCATAAAAAATCTGAAGCTGCAAGCTACAACGAATTCAATTTTCAGATTGTTTCACCAATTCAATAATCAGATATAGCTTTCCGAAGGTCGCAAGCTTTCTGGGCATCAGAACGAAGTGCTGCAGAAATTTCAAAAGGTGCTGTTGAATCATCTGCTAATAGCCTTCGCTCACCAACAGCTGGTATCAGAGCCCATTATCAAGCGTTTTCGGACCTAAACCACGATGGAAGATAAGGAGGACCCCAGTGGAGGTGACACTTCAGCCCAAGGAGGCAGCTCAAGCGCAAAGGGGAGTGCGTACAAGCCAGCGGTCATTGTTAAAAGAGGTGCTAAAAAAACTTCGCTGTTGTTAAGCTCTCTATAGATGGCTATGATGATTGGGCATGGAAGATGCTGTAAGAAATAGAGTTGAAATGATTTATATGGTAAGGAGCCCAAGGCTCTATAAGTACATGGCAAGGTGAGAGAGAATGGATGAAGGGGGAATCGGAGGGAATCCCCATCGGGATCTCCGGAATCTCCAATTGGGTAATTGGAGATTGTGGGGATCACAATTGGGTGAGGTTGGGATTTGTGAGTACACCCCAACCCACTAGAACATTCACAACCAAAACTAGGATATAAAAGTACAAATACAAAAGTGGTATTTGCAGTCTATTTCTAACACACCCCCATAGACTGCAAACCCGGTCAAGGAGCACATAGCCCCTTGGAACGGAGAAGGCGATGGTGGTCAGCCTTGCCGAGAGCCTTGGTAAAGAGGTCGGGGAGGTTGCAATCTGAGGCGATGTACCGTACCGTCAGCTGGTCACTCTGAACAAGATCTCGGATGAAGAAATGACGAAGTTCGATGTGCTTGGTGCGAGAGTGGACACAGGATCCTTGGTGAGATGAATGGCACTCTGGTTGTCACACCACAGGGTGGGCGACTGCTGGGGGTAGCCTAACTCAGCGAGGAGAAAGGAGAGCCAGCGTGCCTCTTGAGCAGCCATTGTGCCCGCGTAGAGCTCGGCCTCGCAGGACGACAGGGAGACTGCAGAGGACCGAGTGGAGCGCCAGCTGATGACTCCGCTACCAAGGGTGAAGCAGTACCCTTGGGAGGAGCGTCTGTCAGTCTGGTCATCGGCCCATGAGGAGTTTGTGTATCCCTCGAGCTTGACTGGAGAGGTACCACCAAGAGTGAGGATGTGAGACTTGGTGGCTTGTAG